CTTTCCTAGGAAAGGGCATCCTTCCATGCAGTCACCGCTCACCACAGCTTCCTCCAATGGAAGACAGGTATGGAACGGCCTGTACCCAAAGACTATGCCTGGGATTCAATTTCCCTACAAACTAAGTACGACAGAAATGGCTGTTTTGTGAGCAATGTACTTTTATGGATATAAACAACAGGATAGATAGCTTGAGAAACATCTTCCTAAGTCAAAAAGTTCATCATTTTATTCTTGTTCACCATTCTCTCCTGGGTTTTCTATGTAAACAAAGGGTTAGTAGCTTCACATGATACAAGTATTGTATTTTCTTATTTATAATTAATTGATGTCCTTCTCCCTTCTTAAGGGCATAAAAATCCAGCTCTGTGGCAGAGCACGTGGCAAAGTTATGTGAATCAGCACAACATTCTCGTTTAAGGTGTATCCATCCCATGCACCCTTGAATGCGGGAACCCGGTGAGTGCACTCATTATTCCTAGTCCAATGTCAAGATACACTCTGGGATATGCCACCCTTTAAATGGAACAGGTGTACAACCTTCATAAATCTTCATAAATAAATACATCTTTCATATATAAGCTTTTATATTTATTATTCACTGACAGCAAAGCATTGGTTTTGCCCTCATTGTCCTTAAAGAGCTCTATTTAAGGCGCCTATGAAGACATTGCTAGAGCACTCAGCTTCCTAGTGATTGTAAAACCTCACTCAATTTTCAGAATTCACATTGTCCTAAGAACCACTGCGTGCCAAGTCCAGCTGTAGGCTCACAATTGTGCTTAAAAATCGAAGGCTCTCACTAGCCTACTCTAGCAGAAGCTCATGGGAATGCTATGTCACCTGTTACATTCTCAGTTTCCGGGATTTTTGCCATATAATGTTCATTCTCAAACTTTCTATACCATTGTTCAAATTTTGAAGTAGACATATGTATGAATTATTGGAAATCATATTTGTAGTTGGATGATAGCAGTCTGCCCTGAAAGCATCTTAGAACCCTATCAACGTCACACCAATGGCAGGAGATGCGACATGGTTTCGGTACACTGAGAGGCCACTGCGGGCAACCAGGACATGAGACCAGGACAGTGCTCAATGTCTATTGTGCCAAATTGTTTTTTTTGCCTTATAAGATAATTGAAGTAAATCTCTAGGATAGGAACATGGCTTTTCGCAGGGAATTCTACCATTGTATCTCTTTCTAATTGAAGTTACCAAACACTTAACTGCCATTTTCAGCCTATGTGATATTGCATGAGTACTGGATTTGTTCAAGCTGGGTAACATCTACTGACCACCGGCTAGTTACGTATATACATGGGTAGATCACACACTCATCACAAGATGAATAATATGAAGTTACATTTTGCTGTACTATATTTGAATTTACTAATATGTAATTTCCAATTGACTCATTAAGGAGTGCTGGAAAATGTCTTAATTACTATTATTTGAAATACTCATTTTCCCTTTTTTCTCCATTTCTATTATATTTAACACCTTATATTTGGCTTTCAAATTTATCATGTGGTAATATCAATGGTTACTGCTTTCTTTATTATATAAAGTTCTAATTTTTTTAGACAGATACATATACTCATTCATTATTTCCTATGGCCAAAATCAATATGTATGAGGAAGGTTCATGAAAGGTATGGTATCATTTGATCCTTTTGTATGATTATCTTGATACCCTTGGTGGGGTGATAAAATGACTGATTGTATTTATGGATATTTGCAATAGCTCATCTGCATGTAACATTTTTGGTTCTGTTATACATGTTATATAGCATGTTCTCTTTGACATCTATGATAGTTTGGAATATGTATTCTCTTGAGAGCATCAGATTAAATGAGCTCTCTCTGTTTGCAGAAAAAGCTTACCTATTCACCATCCACAGGTTGTTTCAGTATATCCTATAATCTCAGAGATGCAAAACTCCCAGGAAATCACAGTCTTTATTAGATTTTCAACATATCTGAAATTTATATATACCTTTATGTATATATATAATGGCTCTTGTGTTAACTCAGTATACCTGGTTATAACATCCACTCTTCTTCAGATAGAACATGGAGTCTAATCAATATGGGCATACTCTCTATTCTACTCTAACACCTACAGAATGAGTGTGTATCTGTGCCATGCTACAGACACCAGCATAAAAGTATGCAGAACTTGCAAATATTATACTACTACAAATAGGATGCAGTAGATAGTCTACAATCCAGGTACTGAAACTACCAGTGAAGGCTTTCAATGTTCTTATCCACCATACTATTTTTAATCATTGACAAGAAGGGAATAATAAGTATACAGAACATGGGACCACGGAACATGCAATAGAAAAAAGATTAGAGGTCATCTGATCCTTAAAAGTAACACTTGCATACATCATTAACCGAGTTTGTGTCTTTTAGTAATAGTTATTTTTTAGTTATCATTGCTTAGTAATTTATGACATCCAATTCAGAAAAACCATGCCCTCTGATTTATAACATTAGTTGTCTTTGCTACTAATTTAGCTATTGCCTTTGCAATTGCAAAGAGCCTCTGTATTGATCTGCTGTGATTGCTTTACACAGACACTTGGTTCTTAATGGACTACCAGTTAAAATTCATTACTATTTTTAGATATGCTATGGACAACCTTCTGTACAGGTCTCATAGAGAATTACTGCTTTGCCAAGAACATAGGCTCATTAGCTATTTTAATGCTGCATTCAGGATTGCTAATAATAAAGAGAATCATATTTGGCTAGAATTATAAACTATGTCCCCAATTTTATATTTGAGCATCTATTAAAATAATGATAAATAATAAACAGAAAGAGAAATACAACATTTTAAAATGTGTGATTATGAATGGGTTTGATCTTAATTTGTGGAAATCTAAGTCTGAGTTGTTTTAACGTAGTTGTTGCTGAATGCTAACAAGTTGACGTCAACTCATAGTGACTCTACGTGACAGAGTAGAACTGCCTCTTCCAGTTTTCTTGGCTGTAACCTTGGCAGGGGCCCAGCTCCAGGGTTTTCTCTATTGGAGCTGCTGAGTGGGTTTGGATGACCAACCTTTGGGTTAGCAGCTGAGTGCCTAACCATTGTGCCACTAGGTCTCCTTTCCTCTTACTACTGATAGGATTTTAAAAGACAGGCTGAAAATGTCTATTGATTGTTAACTGGTTCATTATGATGTTGACCCATAGCCATGCATTGTGCATTATTTTTGAATCACTATTCATAGGTGCTAGCTAGTGCATTAGTCACTTTCGCACTAGTTCATTAAGATTGACGTTTTGTTTTTTCTTTTCTCTCTCAAACTATTAGAGGCACGAGAGTAGGATAGACACGGTCAAAGACCCTGGCGTACAATAGAAAAGTGGAATCCCCGTGTTTGACCTTACGTTGCCCTTCTTGTCTTTGTATCTCTTGCAGTCTGAGTCTTGAGGCTTATGTGAAATTTCATCGAGAGAACAGCTGTATGTGTCTTATATCATTCCCATTTTGTCTTCGAGTACACATGACCCAACCCTTATCCATGACATTTGCCAGAACTGAAGCATAATGGTAATCTCCTGTCTTCTTAAGGCTATGAGTAACTTCTAGCCCTTAGAGTGTTGTGATGAACCAAGCTATTGTGACAAATGAGGAAAGAAGCATTGCATTGCTTATTCCATTTCTTTTTCACTTTAGAGGGGCACAATCAATTTTGAAAGCAAGTTGATCTACTTCCTGAGAGACCTACGCCTGATACACCATTCCTTATTTCTACTTTTAGCAAAATATGATTGTTAGTCTTTTTTTTTCTTGTCACCAGGTCCCGAAGGATTAAGCCCTCCCCCAAGCAAACTTGGCATAGCTGAGTTCATGCATGCAGTCCCTGTGCTCAGGAGCAATGGACAACTCGTTATGATGTCAACATCCTCTAGACTCGGAGACGAAGTCACTCCACAGGGCTGTGCTGGTCCTCGCTCCCTTGCTTTCCTGGCCCGCTTGCACGGAATCTCTGCTATCTTGTCAAAATACAGTCTGCAGTGCGTAATGCTGTGCTGAAAAGCCATACCACTTTTCTAACTGTTCATTTTTTCTTAGCCTTTTCTTATATACGCTCAGGTTATAAGGACCGACCGTCTGCAAGGCTTTGCAGCTCACCACTGTGATTACAAACTATTTTCCCCAACCAAATCAGAAACATGTAGTTTAACCAAAAGGCATTCTAATTTTCATGCTATGTTGAGTATAAATATAAATTCAAGGCAGCCAAACTATCCATTTCCAAATAAGAATGTATCCCTACACTCATTAAAAATCATCTGGAAATGTATATTATTAGCAAATGAGTAAGAAATTGTCACTAGTATAAAATTCCTGCTTTATATAAAAGCCACACTGGCCATTCAAGTATTTGAGGGTTTTTTCCCCTCTAGATTTTGTAATTTGTACTAAAAGGATAAAATTGAACTTGAAATTATATTAAAGGAGAAGTCCCTTCTACCTCTAGGGCATTTTTAGAGTGTGCATGTAAAGAGCAAAGTGTCCACCTGCCGATCTACCCTCGATACCTTACTCTTTCCCTCAAAGGAAACAGCTCATGCTTACTGTGTGTGTATAGGAAAAATTAAACAATCCCAATGGAGAAGCAAACACCAGATTGCTTTCAGGATGTGCCAGTTTGCAAGTTAAAGGGCAAAGGGCAAAGACATAGTACAGGACTCTTGAAGAAAAAATTTTCACAGAAGACAACGTTGAAGTTGTTGTTAATGACAGTCAACAGATCGATAGTCAAGTTCAAGGCAAGCCGTTCATTGTTTCAAAAGCTAATCCCCTCAAAAACTGGCTTTCACATAAAGCCAATGTCTAACTCATGGGGTGCATTCATCTGACCGTTTCTGAATAAGTTCACAGCCCAGTGGCCGTAAGCCTTTCACTGCCAGACGCAGCTCCTAAAAATCAATAAAGAGGTCTGTCAGTTGCTGACTTTTCTCTAGGAAAAAATATTGATACAAACCTGCTCTGCAGGTGACGGAAAATGACAACACTGCTGTTAGGACAAATTACAATCAACAATGAAATGCTTTGGTGGTCTCTTGGCTCTGTCCGTGTTCAGATGCATGGCGAAATGCCAGAAGCCACAAGAACCCTTTGAGAACTATGGTCGACATGCAATAGGCAATGCACTGGAGGACAGTCATGCAACCTCAGAGTCATCATTTTGTGTCCATTGGTTAAATCGGCCATGCTAGCAGCATGTACCAAGTCAAATTGAATTTTCATGCAATGGAAAACTTTAAAACCAAAATTCAATAGGTCCAATGGGAGTGGGGCAGGAAACAAATGAATGGGGCGGGGAGGAAGGCTTAAGCTATTATAACCCATTGTTCAAATAAAATTTCACTCTTACAATATACTTAATAAAATACCTTTTATTTGCCAGAAAACTTTTGGCAAGTAACACCATTTCTGTTTGTTATAAATGCATTTATGTAGTACTGTAAATTACTTTAAAAAATTACATGGGATTACAGGATATCTGTGTTTAAGAACCTGAACTGCTTGAACCTGTGCCCTGTTATTTTATCTTCTTCTTCTTCTTCACCATTGCCCAGTTCTATAATTTACCAGATACCCAGGCTGACAACCATAAGACTCTGAAAGCTGATCTGATAGTTCTCAAAGGGTTACACCAATGTATTAACTATGCCACATATCCTTGTAAAATAACTGTCACTTTAATCCACTTCAGAGACAAACTGCTTCTTGCTCCACCTTGTTAGGAATATACTTGACAGACTTCAGAAAGGCCTGGGGCAATGGCCTAATACAACCCGGGAGGGAGAATATCACAATGATTTGGGGGGGGGGGGGGCAGGAAGGGCTTTAGAAACACTTCAAAACAATTACTAGGTCCTGTTTGACTGACTATAGCTATGAAGATAAATGTGATGAAACATTGAGGACATGGCTGAGAACAGCTGTAGAAAACGAAAAATGGATGTATTATTAAGGCTGTTACTATATTGCAGATATTTTGGCCCCTTGTTTGTTGGAAAATGGCTGTCCCAACAGTCTAAAGTCCTGTGTGTATTCCGGCTCTCCCACCTGACCAAAGGGTCGGAGGAGACTACTCATAGCAGTCAGAGAGCTATCTTCTTTGGAGACAAAGCTGATTGGGGTCTTCACACTTTCCTGAAAGTTCAAGGGTGGGTGGTTTGTTGGTTTTAATCTTGCATCTCCCCCACCTCCCCGCCCCCTTGCTTTAAAGCAAAAATCGTGGGTTATTTTCCGTTTTGCTTTCCCGTCCCCCTCCCCAGAAGTGGGCTCAGACTCCAGAAGAAAAATAATATTAGAAACCTTTAAGAAGAATCTTTTCTTCTTCTTTTTTTGTTATTTTTTTTTCCTCTTCTTTAGTAATCCTGAAAAAAGTTACTGGGCATTGAGCGTGCAGAGGAAAGGCCTAGAACTGAATGACAAAGAAAGACAAGGGACTGAAGAACGGCAGATACTGTGCATCGTGGAAGCTTCCCCACGAGTGTATGTCTACTCCTGTGCAGGACCAGCGACCCTCTGCGTCTGAAAGGTCAGCCCCAGTCCGGCTGCCACAAGCCTGCTCCTAGCTAGGAAACAGCATAACAGCTCCTGTCTTGAATCTCAAGTTCCCACAAACTCCTGGAAAAGAAAGGAAAAGACCCCAACGAACCCTACATCACACCCACTCTTGCATAGAGCGTTTGCAGTACAGTATGTGGCGGGGGGTTCCTTTCCGCTTGAATTGGAACACAGTGTAAACCAATACCAGGAGGCATAAGGCCAAGATGCAGGGGATGACAATAGCTATGGCTTTCACAGTGCTGGCTGTGTTGTCCAGTTTGATGACAATGTCTACATCATCTGGTGGGCTGTGTCCTTCTTTATTTCTGTCTGTTGGTCCATCACAGCCCATAAAGTCCTTGAGGATGGATCTAGGATACCCAGGTTCGACTTTGAGTATTTGGTTGTTGAATTTCCAGTACTCCTTTCCTTTGTAGAAATACGTAAAGCCTGGAGGGGAGAACACACACAGAGGTACCACTCATTTGGGACGTTGTATATGTATAGGCTACTTTTCAAAAGGACCATTTTAAGGATCTACGGGTCTATCCTCAGCTCAGCTCTGAGTACAGAGTTATGGGAACTGCAATGTGGGACTTGGTGTCCTGCATATGGAAAGATTGACCAAAGGGGAGAAATAGTCTCTCACAAGAACAACTGAAATACTGCAAGATGCACCTCTCTTTCTCTTGATGTGCTATAATTTACCCTAGCCAACACCAGAAAGAACATTATATTCTCTTGCTTGCTTACAGAATTGCTGTTACTGGATTACACTAGTGGGAGATCTCAATCTATATTGAAAGACGTAGAACTACTCTCAAACACGGAACCACTGCTTGTCCTCAGGCTGCTGTTGAGGAGGCGGTTCAGTAAATTAGAAAGTGCCGTAGCCATGACTCACTTCTAGACCCATTTCTGCTTGTTCTAGGATCGGGAATAACTGTGTTTCTGCTTAACAAGAGGTTTGCTCTTGCAATTCCCTCTGACTTCTAGGAGGCATAAAAAGCAAACATAGTTTGCATAGTAAGTGCTACTCCGGCTGTCGGTGACACCCATCTTATGTCCCTTCTCCTTTTGTCACCCTTATTTCACGTTTTGTATTGACTTGACTTGCTAAATATTTGTCACCTGAGTTATGTGTTACAGAACTTTCAAACTTACCATTGATCCTTTAAGGTCAGTCAGGAATTAGTCTACAATTGTGTCTTTCATATTGGCCAGGGCCATGCGTATAACCAATGGCAAGGAAAGGGTTTGTGTTTTTTCTGGGAATATTCTTCCAATTTGGGGTGGTTGTGGAGTACATATTCATATGTTCCTTTCTTCCAGCATGACTATACTATTTGAATGTGTTTCTTACCCTGGGATAAAATTCAAGAAGCTAAGAAGAAGTATTTTAAGGCCAAAATTATTTTTAAGCACTACACTTTGGGTTCCAGCTACCTTGCAGTGAATGATCACGGAGGTGGCTTTTGTTTTTCTATTTTATTAAGCATGTACTACAGAGGAAGCAATGTGTATGTGATTCCACATATTCTCACAACCACTCTGTAAGATAAATTAATTACTCATACTTTGTAGGTAAAGATACTGAGGTGCAGAGGTAACATAAAACGCCCAGGGTTTAAATGTGGTTTAGTTCTAGATTCTGAGCACTTCATGATGTTGGTAAGTCTGACTCCTCTGGACACTTCATATGTCTTTTAACAATTTCAAGTCTGTAAACATCACAGTCTGCTATATCTATCAGATGACAAAGCAAAGAACTCTGATGTCTCTCAAGAAACTTCAGCTCAGCCGGACCATTACTTCAGGCCACTTCATTCTGGTAACGATTCGGGTGATGGCATGGAATACTGCTGGTGTTTTTAGTTGAAAGTTCAGTTTTGCAATCAGGCGGCTTGCCAGGTGAAAACAGGTGTGTGCAGATATGCATTTTCCTGCAGAGAGCAGGTATTTGAGCCCTTGAATGAAATCCGGTGTCATCATTCAACAAGCCTAGCTGAAGATACATTGAGGGTCTCCCAAACAATGGTGCCCCATACACGATCACAGTGGAACAACACGATTATCTAGAACCAAGCAGACCTTCCAAATAGGTGAATGTGTGTCTGTCTCTAAAACTGGAAAGCCAGCAGCTGCAAAGCCCCTCCTAAATCTTTATATTTTAGCCAAAGCTACTTACTATCAAGCTGCTGGTCAGTGTAGAATGGTTAGAGGTTTGGGGGCTTTGTTAATTCATTTGATGTGGAGGCCAAATTTTATAGCAACACTCTCCATATTAAGGAACAAGATTGTAGAATAGTGAATGCATTGGTTAAAAATAAAACCTCTAGTCAATAGTTCAAAAATAGAACTATTTGAAAAGAACTAGGTATTGTTTACAAATAACCTCTGCCACACTCTGACTTTTGAAATATATTTCACTATGTTAGTGCTTTTAAAACATTATTAAAAATTAGTTAAGAAAAGTCATTTGTTGATAATCCCTATGTTCTTGCTTCTCCCCTCTTTGCTAGAGCAGTTTTGGTGATATGTTGTGATAGGTCTTGTGTTGATGACGAGGAGCAACTTCAGATAAATTCTTACCTGCATTATTTAACATTTACAAAGTGTAAGAGGGAAATCAGTGATTCTCCAATGTATTATTTAATAATTTAAAAATTACTGTTAACTTTTATATTGGTATCTTAAAAAATCTAAGGAGAAAATGCCAAACAGAGCTCCCTTATTCTAGTCTAATACTTTTAATTATTTTCATTTACCAAATTTAGCAATTTTCTGAGATTCTGTTGAATCTAGTGTTTGTTAGATGATTTCCACTGAATAAGTAAAACATTTATTGTCATTTCCCTTTACCAACAAAGGAAAACATAAAAATGTACGTAATTTGAACATATTTGCAAGCATTCTCACTTAGTTTGTCTTCTCTGTAAATCTAAATGAACAAGGCTGATTGTGAAATAGAAAGCATTTCTAAAACGTCTCAGTATTATAAGAAGAGGAGTCATGGTTTTATTTAAAATCTACCCTTCATTAAGTGAAAAAAAAAAACAGTTTAAGATGTCTAGTGCAATATATTTTTCTGATGCATAGAATATGGATGAAAATATATTGAGTACTTGATTTGTTGAAACAATAAGCACAGTATTATGAAGGGTTTCCAAATGTATCTGTAAAACTAGAATTAAGGGGATTTTCCTACCAACTTGACGAAGCCCACCCCCCCTTGCTATTGTGTCACACAGGTGCTAATTGAGAAAATGGTCACAGATGAGTAACAGTAGCATTACAGTAGATCCTTTGTAGAAAACTTGTGGAGCTGAGAATTTGCCCTGTAATTAACCTAAATATTGGATTAAATAATTTTAATTTTGCAAGTTTATATCTTTTTTCCTATAACATAGTATAATCTATAAAATGTTTATCTTAACACTAGTATATGATGATATTATTTCTAATGGAAAAATATTTTGTAAACAAGATAATCCTTTAGCCTTTCTAAAAATGCAAGGGTGTGGTTGACTGATATCACTTGAAACAGTACTTAAAGAATGCACAAAGGGGATTATCACGGTAGTCATGGACAACTTTCAAAATGTATTTACATGTTATGGGTCTTCATCGACTTCATAGCAGTGACTATGTATATACACATATACAAAGGAATTTCAAACAATAGTGAAAATAATTCATTACGTTTAATTACATTTTCACTAATTTTTAAAACCCTTCTTATATTCAAATGTATTTACCTTTCTTTAATGCAGTAATTTATAGAATGTTAGTATGCGAATGAATATAAACTATAGATACAGATGGATTTTTATCTCACACTTAATTGTGCTCTAATCTAAGGATAATTAATTCTTATTACATGGCCCTCCTCTGTATCTGCCCTCATAAAAAGCTGACTGAAGAAATGGGTGCCATACCTAAGCATGGTAAAGAAATCAAAAGGTGCCTGGCGATCTGAGAAAAAAAATTGTGTTTGGGGTCTTAAAGGCATGTCTTAAAACAAGTAGCCATGTGAGGCTACAGCTAAGTCCGCTGGAAGAAGTACACTGGCCTGTGGGAGCCCAAAGTTATTAATAATCAAATTCCACAGTGGTTGTCTTTAGGTAGTGGGATTGCAGGTAATGGGTTTGCTTTTTGCATAAGTATATCTCAATACTCATATTTTAAAAATGAAAGACATGTATTTAAAAAATATATTTGTGTGTCCACTTTTCTGAGTGGTTATCATCCCATTCACCTTGGTATCAATTCCTCCAAATTAACTCTTTTGGGGGGAAATTCTTGTAGTATTCTGATGGTTGGTCATAGGTTCCCGTGGTGTCAATTTTCATTTTCTCTGAATTCTTTTTTATATTGTTTTGTCACTCAATATGTTTAAAGTTTCTCTTCCAAGGCTTTGTTTATTTTTATTCTTATTGAGGACTCACTAGCTGTAGATATAAGTATATATATATTGAGTCCTACTTGAACTCATTCGACCAGTTCTACCTTCTTCATCTCTCAGAATGGTGTTGCTTTTCTTTGTTCTGGCAGTTGTGTGTGCGTCCCATTGAAAAGGAGTATTATTTCTTCTTATTCATGAACTCTTGAAGGAGTGGAGATAGTTTGGATTTTGTGTATGTCAACAATAAGGAGCTCTGGTTTATCTGTGATTTAGTCAACTCTTCACTAGGGATCTGGCTTAAAATCAAAGCCTGAGATGAAAACCAAGGTAAGTGTGCAACTCTCAGACTTTTTAACTGTTGTTAAATCATCATCTGTCTATTCTTTCTGGCTATTTGAACTTTTTCTGGCTGTTTTAACCTGGGGTCTTCCTTGTTTCCTGGCACTCTGAAGTAAAGAAATTCACTGACACTGTTGATCACTACCGATGTACCAATACCAACTACCTTTGTGCCGTATCTCTCATGTACAATATGCCTTCCTTGTGGTCAGTTCTTCTTCCAAACATTTGTTATTCTTCTATTTAGCATAGGCATTCTAGTAGGAGACGTGCGGTTACTTCAAAGGTATCCATAACCTCCATTACAAAATACTTTCCCTGAATTTTTTCCTAATAATTTTTTATAAACTCTAATAGGTTGAGATATTAAAATAGCTAGAGGTTATTATTAAATGCAAATCCAGGAAGAATATGACCCTATTATGTCTATTTCTAAGGGTTTCATGTAACACAGTGAAAGAGGAAAATACATTATTGAAAATGTGGCAAACACACAAAATACCGAGTACACACATTGCATACCATTTTCTTTGTGGACAAAGGCTCCCTGGGGAGACTCAGGGATTCCTTTCCAGACGGTGATGGGTTTGGGATAGCCAGGATCCATAGTCTTCATTTCTTCACTATATCTCCAATACCTAAAACAGATTTAAAAAGTGCACAGGGAAGAAAATGATGTACACACATATCAATATGCAACACTCATTCAACCCTGACTGTGTACGTGGTACTACTAGCTGCAGATCGATTGCTAATTTATTGAACATGCATCCAGAAGCTCGGATTTAAATTACCAGTAAGGTAATAGTCACAAAACGGTTTCTTATTTCTCCAGAATATGTTAAAAATTATTTATGTTATTGTCTCTATTTGATATACATATTTTTAAAATGCATATCTGTCATTCAAAAAGACATCAAAATCCTATGTATCCAATCAGAGGTTTTTATGAGGCTTTTTTTGCCTTTAACATTACTTAAGCAGAAGAACATTGTTTTGAAATAAAACCTTAAGCAGAATCTTGAATAATTTAGTGTTTATTTTATTCAGCAAATATTTACTGGGCTTCTACTATGTCTGTGACACTGTGCTAGAACACAAGATTGAACAAAATAGATATGCCTCAACTTTCATTAAGATTAAAGGTTAGGACTTTTTTGTGGGCTATTGGTAATTAACCAATTAGTCAGTACATGCAGTTGCAGGAGGAGGAGGATTATGAAGAAAACAAACAGTTAAGCATCTGTCTAGGAACAGTGGAAATCTTTTTAAATTACCGTATATACTCGAGTATAGCCAACCCGAATATCAGCCAAGGCACCTAATTTTACCACAAAAACTGCATTAAAAATGTGCTGAAAATCTTGGCTTATACATGAGTATATATGGTAATGTATAGCGGTCCTTTCTGATAAGCAGAAATTTGATCAGAGCACAGAAATTTGGGAGTAAGACATATAGGTCTTAGGGAGAAGAGTAGTCCAGACAGAGAAAAGAATCAAACATCCTATAATAGGAATATGTTTTGGGTATTTAAAGCTACACAAGAAGGCTGGGGTCACAAAAGAAGGATGAGGAAAGGTGGGGCTTTCCTCATAAAGAGGTATGGTTTTGGAAACTCACATGGGCAGTTCTACCCTGTCCTATAGGGTCACTAAGAGTCAGCATCAACTATGAGTCAGCAATGGGTTTGTTTTGATATTATCTGGGGCTGTGGGTTAAGCATTTGGTTGCTAACCACAGGTCAGGTTTCAAACACACCGCCTGGGTTGTGGGAGAGAGATCAGGCTGTCTACTCCCGTCATGATTTACAGCGTGGGAAGCCCTCTGTAGGGCCGTGATGGGTCGGGATGGACTTGATGGCGGTGGTTGATTACATGCCAGGCACGTAAGCTATGTAGAGAGGAAGAAACTATTAATGGAATGTGAACTGTGTTAGCCGTTTGTGTAATTCTAGTTTGGATTTGTCAAAATCAAAGTATTTCTTCCGCCCAACTCTCTCCCAGCAGAATTTGCAAGACTATAATTTTAGATCATCTCATAATCTTTGAAAAAACCATACATCCCTCAGGTTATCTGCTGTGTGTCATCGTTGATATATGTATAGTAAACTTGAATAAGATTAGCTTCAGCTCTAACTACATTCAGAGCTCTAACTGTATTCAGGGCCTCCTGATAAAAGATGCTGAAGTTTCTTCATGCATACTAGTTTGTGTTTTAATTTCCAAAATATTTGAATACTTTTCAACATGAACAAACAAGCTCATCCTATCGATTTTTCATTCCCTGAAAAATAAGCCTATGAATTTATTGAGAATTATAATAGCTCATTCAGATCACATTATGCAACTAAACTGTCATATGGGTTTAAACTTTTAAAAGGTTATAATGGAAACATTGGATGAGAAAATAAAACTTGTAATAAAAACTTACATCCTTTTTTCTGTGTCATCAATCTTTTCAATTTTAGAATTATGACCTTGAAAGCTAATTTTTAGAATAAAACATTCTGAATTAATGCTTCAAAATAAACTATGATTAAGATGACATTTATTCAGTATTTTTCAGACTTGATAATGAATCCTATACAAAAGATACAAAAGCTTTCTAGGCAACAGTATATATTTCACAGTATTTCCCAGTATTTTCTCTAAGGGGGAAAAAAACTTGGAGCGAAATAGTTCAATGGGATGATGGAAATAAAGACAGTAAAAAGTGGCTTTAAGGAACTTCATACGATTCTTCCATTTCAACAACCCCCACAGAGGGGTCGCAGGGAGGGGATGAGTCATTCAGGATGCAGTAGAGCTTTGATGGATCACGCAATATACCTCTGATCCCTTGAGGCCTCTTCACCCGCCCCCCCACTATCATGACCCCAGTGGTGTTTCTCACTCTGGACTGGAAGGGAGCATGCACATAGGTGTAGGCAAGAGATAAAGCTCAGGACACACGGGACCCAGGAACAGGAGTGGGAATAGGGATACCAAAAGGGTAGGGGGAAGGAGAGTGGGGAGAGGTGTGGCAGAAGTGGGTACCGATCGCAATGAATGGCACATAGCCACACCAACCACATCCCCCACAGCCCATCCAGGGAGAAGAACAATGGAAACCAGACAGTGGTCGGTGTGAAAACGAAACCAATAACTCTCTATATCTATCAAGGGACCATGAGGGGAGGAGGGAAAATAAGGGGGAGCTGATCCTAAGGGCTCAATAGAAAGTAAATGTCTAGAAAAGAAGGATGGCAATATATGGACTAATATGTCTGATACAGTTGATGTATGGATTGTAACAAGAGTTGTAAGAGCCCCCAATAAAATGATCTGAAAAAAAAGTCTTCCATTTCTTCATTCTACTTGTCTTAATCCTTTTTCCATTCATCACGACCATGGAGATATAGTCTATTAATATGGCTCTTCTCTCCATAATCCTTTTGTGATGTTCTGTAAGCGCTAGCCTTGATGACTGTGGCTTTTCACACCATTTAAAGGGAGTTCTCAGTTTTGCTAATAGGCGCTATTGCAGTGGGATGCACTCTGAGTCTCTACCTCGGTCCCTGTGAACTAAGTCAGCACCCTTTGTTTCCTTGGGAACAAAGTCTGCTGAAATGTAAGAACAGGACTCCATGAAAGCCACACCTCTTCTGAGAGAACCACCTCAGAAGCAAAGAGCGAGAACGAGAGAATTCTTGGGTTCATCAAGGAAAAAGGCCCGCTAGTGGCAAGTATTTGAGATTCTTCCCTGCTTGAAGTGAGGGAGGCAGTAGAAGTGATGCCGCCCCAAGATCAGAGTCAAGGCAAGAGAAGCATAAGGCAGAGTGGAGGAGCAGTGCTGAGCTGAGACCCTGAGGCAGAGTAGCAGACTGGCTTCCTGGCCAAGCAGGGTGGAAGCCAAGGGAGCGTGTAGCTGACAGGCTGAGGACCAGAAAAACAAGAGACTTAGCTGCTGCTGGAGGAGAGGCACTGCGGTGGATCCATGATAATATCTTTATTGTTTACTGGTCCTGACTTGCGGTAACTTAACTTCCTTAATAAAACCCCTTAATTGTGAGTTTGCTTTGTGGGTTTGTGTGGTCATTGGGAAGAACTTTTGAACCCAGGAAAGCAGAGTCCTTTGGGAGGAATGATGGTTGTCAGGCGAGGGGAAGGAAAGATGGAGGGTACAGACAGATCTGACTTCTGCCTCTGGCCCTAGGTCTCGGCTGGAGTCTCTCCTTCCTTCATGTAGGCCACATGAGGTCAGACGGGGCCCCTGCACTCTTTAATCAGCTACTCATTTCTGTGCAGTCTCCCCAAACTAAAGGCCTCCTTAAATTTTCTGTATTGAAGAAATCATGCAAAATATCACTCTTCAGAGACATTCTTAAACAATGGAACAGAAAAGAAAATATTAATTTGTGTTGTCATATATATTATAATATGGTCCTGGATGATCTAAAATATAGATACTTAACAAATTATTTTCATGAACATGTACCTTAATTTAGGGTAAATAACTATATTTTTGTCTTTGATTATTAATGGGAGAGAGAGAAAAAAAGATAAGGCTTTCTGTTCCCATAAAGATTTATAGTCTTGGAACCTGTAGGGAGCAATTCTACTCTACAGGGTCATTCTGAGTAGGAATTGACTGAATGGTAGTTAGTTTTTTAAATGGATCTAATATCTGTCTTTGTTCTTTGAAAATTCCTTGTAATTCTCCACAGTTAAGTTTGGAATGTAATATGGCACCAGAGTGTTCAGTATATTTGTGGGAAGATTCTAAGAGATGCTTTAGACACATAGCATTTTAGAGCTATATGCTATGAGAATATACATATCCGAGTTTAAAATTATAGTATATAAAGCAAAGGGCAAGTAGGGATCTGTAGGACCAAATCCTCAACATGTGAAGAGTTAAAACAGTGGGCATTTTCATGCAAATTTACAGATTTTAAAAGGCCACTATTTCATCTATTCTTTCTAAGCTATCTACAGATTTCACCCAGAATTGTAATTGCATTTTTACAGGATTTACTCTCAGAGCTGTGCCTCTGGACCAGATCTTTCCACTGAGATGCAAATGTATGCATTCTACTTGTTCTTTTGTGTGTATAAGAACTCCATCTGAACATGGTCACTTTATTGGCCCTTGAATGCCTTAATCCCTCTTCTGCAATATCTCTTTCCGGGTATGATCTAGACACTGAACTACAATTCTTTAGGTGACAAACCTGGAAGTTACTTTTGATTTTGTTTTTCACTTCCCCACCAAAAACCAAACTGTGAGACACTTGCTAACTTCACATTCAAAATGTAGCCCCAGCTCCGTCTATACCCTGCTCCCTTCTCCAGGGCTCCCGCAATCTGATCTCTCCAGTCGGGCTCCCATAGTCTCTGCGTGATCTTTCTCGCCTCCACTCTTGCAGCCTACGTTGCACACACAGGCTAGAATGATGTTTGCAAATGTAAATCAGTCCATGTCATTTTCCTGTTTATAACCCTTCAATGCCTCTCTGTTGTATTCAGAATAAAATCCAAAGCTTCGCTGTGGCCTCCAGATAGTGCTGAGTAATCGCTATGATTTAGTCATCTTCTGTTCCCTTCATTTAATTTTTTTCTTTTTCTTTTTCAATAACCAGTTTAACTCCCACATT